CAAGTCAGTCAACGATTTCTTGACTGCGGATCAATTAGACATTTCTTAGTAACAGCAGTGATATGGACAAACTAATACTGTTACGCATGTAAGATATATGTACTTATTAACTACACCAAGGTCCAATTACGTTCGGGGCAATCGTCCAACTTTGCAATAAATCAAATGCGCTCTATATTCTTTAAAATAAAATGTAAATAACTCTTCACGTAACATACCGTAAAAAAAGGCAAGCAAACCGTTGGAATCTTCAAATCCATTATAGCCTGCAGCATTTCAATTTGCCCATATTATTTACTCCTCTTGATATTATATATATATATTTATTACGTATCAACTAGTATCAGTATCATAAGTAGCGTATAATTGATGCAGCATCACAAGGTGAAAATACAACAACTCATCGTTGCAAGTTTCAGGTGGAATCAGAAACTTTGCTGTTTTATCTAAGCCTCAATACTGACATAGTCAGATTGGGCAAGGCTTTTGTAGAAATCGCACTGATCGCCGCCGTAGTCCCACACCCGTGCAACAGTTGGGCAAACAAAATCAAAGCGGTTCTCGACGTACGGTCACGTATCGGGACGTTGGGGTAAATCCGAAAACGAAGTTGTATGTCGAAGCTGGCGGTCAAAGTCAAAGGTCTAGAAGGTTAAAAGAAGGCACCACACAATCAATCTTAACTTAGGAAGGAGATATATGCAGATGCTGCACAAATCTAACGGCTCAACCTAGGCTCGTGAAGTGTGTATAGCATCATGGTAGATAAAGCAAATCACTGTCTGAAATTGAAGTCAACAGTGAAAGGCAATGGCACAGGGCAGATTTTAGACATTTCTGAGCCAGCACATGGTCTGACGATGCGATTGAAAACTTTTTTGGATTTTCAGCGTGACCCTAGCATAATTTAATGCATTTTATTGAAAGGACCATGAAAATCTCTTTCTGCTGACGATGCAAAGCAGTAAGTGTAGATAACTTTTGACCCTCCAAGAGGAGTTCAACATCGGCATCTGTTTGAAACTGTCTGTTAGAAAGAATTTGACTGCGGTTTGCTAGTAGATCATCTTACATCCTGATTATGAGGCTACAAGTCACAGTGAAATTCAAAAGGCAAATTTGGTTAAAAGAAGTTTATTCTCCTTAATATCACCTATCATATCACCACCGCATCTGTACTGTCCAGTATGTTACATTTAACTTATGCCACTGGCAGTGCTACTCGCCAGGTCGCATGTGTTGTGTACTGTTTACGTTTTTGCCTGCTTAAATCGGTTTCAGTGTGCCTAGCTCTCTTTAATTGCAGCTCTGTAGGCTTGCGCTAGGTAAAGGATGAGTGCTTACCCTATTCTGTCTCTGACAAATAGTGTTCTACTAGGTAACGAATGAACTCTCCATCTTTAATCTGAAGACACTTAAACGTACGCGCCATCTTGTGGCAACTTTCATAACGATTCCAACGAACATTCCTTTGAGAAGGTTCCTGATACCATCCCTGTGAATTCCACTGTTTCGGCGTGTATGTGAACACATTTGGGACTAACAGGGTTTACTAGAATCCCACCACTCCACCACAGAGTCACCGCAGTAGACGTTAGATGAGCGCTGTCGCTCCGCGGCACTTGTTTTAACAATTATTTGTGGTATTATTATTCAGCAGTCCTACCTTGATAATATAAAACCAACCACTTGTCCATACGATGCCCCTACCCTGAGATATTAAGCGGTCAAATCTAGTATTTTGGCGAAAATCGAACTGGAGTTGGCTGCGACCTGCGACTCTCCCACGTTTAGTGATGACTTCGGGAAACCTCGCATTTCCGTCATTCATTGACAAATGGAATTCCTTTTCCTTCTACTATCTTTTCTCGCATTTCTAGTCATGAACGCAGCCATTACTCCACAATAACGTCTTGTTATTTATCGCCATGGTGATGACCCACCTCTTGCGCTGGATTTAGCAAACTCTGTAGTAATGACGTAATGAGTCAGCGCTACACAGCGGCGACCGGAGGCAACATACTGGACACTAATCGCGGGACAGTTGCAGCTAGCAGCCAACTCCAGTTCGATTTTCGCCAAAATACTAGATTTGACGTCAGCGTAGTCAGCGTAGGGACATCGTATGGACAAGCGGATGATTTTATATTATCAAGGTAGGACTGCTGAATAACAATACCGCAAAGAATTGTCTAAATAAAACGGGTAAAGTTTAATAATTCCACTGAAACTACAACATGGTTGTTGCATTTCACCATTGTACACTCTCATACTTCACTTAAAGGCATACTAGGCCCATTGAGTATGCAATGTTGACGAATGCTAGAGTAACTGGCACCTTGTGTAGTTAATAAGTACATAACCTTATAGCCAAACGCGTATTAGTTTGTCCAATATCACTGCTGGTTACATTACAAGCAAGACTTGAAATCGGTTGTTGATATTCATTTACGTGCCGTAAATGTCATCCAGGAGTCAACCGATGACGTTTGTGCGGCTCGTATGTTTTGGACGCCAGATGAAATGGAGGTGTCAGCGGTGTAACCACGGCCACGGACTAAACATGGAAATGGAGTAAAACACATGTACTAATCACGGACGCACATGGACAGCCCTGTCAAAAAGTTCCTTATCACGAGCGTCCGTGTTTACGAAATCACTAATGATAGCATTGCGCACGGCCGAGCATGAGTGCGAAAATGTCCGGTGCACTATAAATATGTATCACACCCGCTTCGCCGGCAGTGGTTCGAAACTGTAAACAACTGATTTCTTGAAGTGCAGATTTCAATTAGACATTTCTTAGTAACCAGCAGTGATATTGGACAAACTAATACGCATTTGGATGTAAGGTTATGTACTTATTAACTACACAAGGTGCCAGTTACTCTAGCATTCGTCAACATTGCATAATCAATGGGCCTAGTATGCCTTTAAAGTGTAGTGAGTTATTTACTTAGGTTTTTACAGTGGTTTGTTACAAAAATGTGCATGGGTAGCCACCTTTCAGGTAGAGTAAACTTTGTATTGTATTAATTTGTCAAGTAATTTTTTAGAATCAATGTCATATTATCTATAAAGTTCATTAAATGTGACTCGCACTGCAAACAAGGATTGCCATGTTCACCGTTTGTGACCACTCTTGGAAACAAGGCTCAAAATCCATCCAGTTTGATCTCTAAAATGTTAATTTATACTGTATAACTGTACGTAAAATTAATAAAAGTTGTCCAGTCCTCAAACATTCCCAGTTTTCCATGGAGTGGAGGATGGGCTGCTATTTCCGTCACTGGTATGACATATGCCATTTAATCAATTTCGGCCTGGCTTATAAGTTATATATATATATAAAGTCACATTAGTCGTAACTACTGGATGTGTACCTATCAGTATATAAAATTCTCATGCTGCACTCGTCAATGGTAGTGGAATGGGGAAATTTGTAGCTAGTTTATGTAGTAATGCTCATAATTGATGTTGTTTTGTGGTTTCAGCATTCTTTAGTATTGATGGGTTGACATGGAGCATTCAGATGGGTGGTACAGTGGCCATATTTTTGACAGTGGCTGTTATATGCAGAGGTAGGTTTTATTTATAATGACTAGGTCATATGCTCACAAATGTTTCAGTGAATAGAATATTTTAATTGATGTTTTTATTATAATAGGCATGTAATGTCAGTGCAAAACACATTGCTAAACTCTTACATTTTGCATAAGATAAGATAAGATAAACTTTATTTTCATCGGTATGAGATAAAATTACAAACATGAGCTCAAAAGCTCTTGGACCGATATCAAACAGATCTGCATATAGGAATGCCCACCCAATAATTTCTATTATGAATAAATGCTGTAGAATAAAGATGGCAATAGCTTTGGAAATGTCCATATATAAAAATTGGTGGATTTCAAAATAATCGCGTACTCGTGTTACAGTTGCTAATGTTACAGGTTTTTTTCAGAATTGGCATTTGCATTGTAGCATGTGATATGTTCTTGGCAACAAATTGCAATTTGATTTTTTGGCCCATAAAATTGGGCATGCTGTTCATCACAAAAATACATATTTGATCAAATAATTAATATCTATATTTTGAGTCTGTGTCCAATTTGTCGTGAAATTGCCCAAATAACCTATGTTAATAAATGGTTTTATTTTATTTTAACAGCAATAGGCAGAGTGACAAATAGCGAATATCAAAAATTCATAAAATCGCTATGTGATGCGAAAGCTGGGGGAAGCGCTGAGCATAAGGTAGGCACCACACATTTTTACAGATATTGCAGCTCAGAAGCCCTTTATTTTAATATAACTTCTGTCTTTTATTGGATCTTAGGGACACATTATCAGTGCTTGAATTTTTAACAGTTTATGGAAGCTTATATATACTTATTATTATGCTTAAAGTATCAAACTCTAATATAGTATTTCTCTTTAGAAATTATTATCAGGCTATGATTTTGAATTCGTTCATTCACCGATACAATTCAGCTGGAATCATCTGGAGAAGTGAGTTGTCATAATTGTTTACTTTTGTATGCATCCTATTTTAACATAGCTGATATTGAGTTCATAGCAGGTAGCAGTGGTAGCAGGTATGACTTCATTGAGATTGAGAGTGATTTTATTTGACTAGACCTAAATATTTGGGTGTATTTATATATATATATATGTATCAGGAGCTAATAATGACAAATTGTCATTATTAGCTCCTGATATGTATTTATAAGAACAGTATAGTTTTCCGCTAGAAAACCGTGACATCAAAACAAAATATAAATATGACAATGATAACAGCTTTTGGTGCGAATCAATGATAAACCGTAATTTAGATATCATTATTTGATATTTTTAGAGATGATCAAAAGCAAGGAATGGATATCAGTGCTCCAGAGACTCCTAAGAATGGGTTTATAGGACAAATAACAGGGCCTCTGTCTAAAGTATTAGGGTGAGTACCATGACCATGGTAATACCAGATCATTATTGGCAGTTGTTTAGGAAATAGATTTGGCAATCATTATATTCTTAGTATCAATGTTCTTTTATTGTGCTAGCTGATTACTTTTAAAAATAGCTAAACTGAACCTTCACTAAATGTTCATTCATTATGAGTCATAAGTCTTCCTATTCTGAATAAAAATAATTTTTTTATTGTTTGCAAATTTATTGTTGTCTTATTTTGTCATCTGTGTTGCAGGTACTTTGCAATACATTCATTTGGACGCAGACTTATTTACCCTGGGACATTGAGTTTCATGCAGAGTGCCATGGGTGAGACAGCATTAATTGATTCTATATATTGATGGCTTCTATATTTTACTATATAAACTTAAGTTATGTTTTAATTTAGTTGTACGTCTTCATTTATCGATGTCTGTGCTTGTTGTGGTTGTTGGAACAGTGTAAGACTTGCAACCCAATGTTACATAATACATTGTTATAGGCTGTTACTGTAATTAAAGCATAGAACTGAATTGTATTTTATGTGCTGTTTATTACTATTACATGCAAGATTTAGTAAGAGAGTTGTTTTAGTACAGCGTGATACATATGAATTGGTTAATTGGTGCCAAGCAATTAAGCCAATCTTATACACTTTATACATCATTATGAACATTACAACATAATGTAAAATTATATTACTAATGTCCCTGCATACTATTTCAACACGCCTAGCTCCTGCACTCGAGCAAGGCCGAGCCAAGCTGGTGGAGGAGCATGGTGGCCAGAGAGCAAAACTACAGTGTAGATTGGGAAACGAAATAGACACCATGTTTGTCGACAAAAGAGGAAACGAATCAGGATCTATTAATCGAGATACCTTAGTATGTTGTTGACATATAATTGCTTACTTAATTTTAAGTTTCATTTCATGAAGATTAGTCTGCATTTATTCAGCTCTATATGTTTTAGACAGTGAGTGCAAAATTGCAAATGTCACTTTTGTAATGTATTTAATAACCTGGGAGGGTTTGAAGGATCATTACAGTTTTAAATAATAAGCTTCCTGGAGAAATTCATGATCATAGAAATTCCTAAAAAATCTGTGTGTTGTACATGCAGTAACACCTCAAAATAGTATCATTTAATATAGTGATTATGATCTAGGTGGTAACATGTGAGGGAAATGCTGGCTTCTATGAAATAGGCTGCATGGCGACACCTCTGGATTGTGGATACTCTGTTCTTGGATGGAACCATCCTGGATTCTGGGGAAGCACGGCATGTATCATATTTTATCATAAACAGTTCTATCAACTTGTTGTCACATTCTTTCGTATAATAATATTGTGCCGCAGCGTATAGGTTGAGACCAGTTGTTGTGACTGGGCGTAGTATATAAAATAAATATATCATTTTGTTATATACCTTTTTGCATCTTGAATGTGTAGTAATTGGTGACTAGTACTTTTTGAATTGTACATTTGATTTCATAGTGTACTTGTACTCTTTATGCTAGTGCAGTTACTGCTTATAGACATATGGAGACTCATATGGATGTGTGTTTAGGGTGTACCTTTGCCAGATCAAGAGGCTAGTGCTATAGATATAGTCATGAAGTACGCCACCAAAGGATTGAATTTTCAACCTGAGAACATCATCATATTTGCATGGTCTATAGGAGGATATACTGCGACCTGGGCAGCCATGAATTATCCTGATGTAAAGGCTGTGGTGGGTGGAAAATTGCGATTAAAATATTAAATTTATTAGAAACATTTATTTGCCTCAATTGAAGACTTTTATTCGATGTAAAAGGCTTTGGGACTTTTAGGGAAAAATAGTTTGATGCAATTTTTCTAGAGTACTCAGCTAGCTGACATGCGAACAGACTAAAAGCTATATCATTTCAGGGACGAACTTATGCATTTGGCTGAGCAAAAACACGTGTATGCAACAATTGGTAGATTGGCTGTATCCATTCCTACGGTATATGAACTAGAATGAAGACCTTCCATGAATTTCCTCGAGGATTCATTCATTTTCAGATTCTCGATGCTACATTCGACGATCTTGAGCCACTTGCGATTGCACGCATGCCTGATTCTTGGCGTAAGCAAAATTACCATGCAGTATTTGTGTGAGAAATATGTTGTCAATATATTGAAAGTACGTGATGGGAGATTCGAGCCTTTCTCATCATAAGAAAGGATTCCTAATTGTTTTTTATCGTTTTTTAGGTTCATTAGTAACTGCTGCTGTGCGGACCCATATGAATATGAATATTGCAGAGCAGTTGATTAAGTAAGTAATTAAGTATTCTATGACTGTCAATAGTTATAAATAATAGACCTATGATGTTAGTTCACCTCAAACGATTTATGAAAGCTTTTCCCATTACAAGCTGCTTCTACCATTCATATACTTTGTTAAATTTATAGAAGTTCTATTCACTGGAAAGATATGTAATTATCCCCACCACGATCTGCATGCATTTACTTGGCCACACCATTGATTCGAAGATTTGTGCGAGTGAAATGTGTAAGCAATATGATTATAGCAATATGGTGTAGCACATATTAAAAAGTTCTACCAAAGTATATCATCCATCTAATTTCTTGGAGGTCATTCCTTTTTGAGCCTGTGCATTTTATGACACAGGTATCCGGGAGTGATAAAGCTAATTAGACGTACGAATGATGAAATGATTACAACAGTAGAGCCCCCACAGCCTACGTCATTGAGGTCCAACAGAGGAAACAATCTTCTTATAAAGCTCTTGCAGTACAGGTGAGCAGTTCTTTACTTGAGACTCCCATGCTGAATAATAAGCATGTTAACTTTCCATTCCTGATCTACATTAGAGTATTTTATTTGTTACGCTGTTTGTACGGCAACTCGTTAATGTGTTTATGTAATGAAGTTGCTGCTTATAATTGCTAATCATTTCTACTGTAATTTTTTTTAACTACATTACTTTTTTTTAATGAAATTTCAAGAAGAGGTGTGTTAAAGTACTAGCAGCTTGTAGAGGAATAGGATGTAAAGGGATAGAAGAGGGTTGTCAAGACATTATGGTTCACACAACTTCAGCGCACTTGGATATCTAGTAAGGCAGTAACGAGATTGTAGATTGCAGGTTTATGATCTCCAATGCCATACATTTTGTTTTCCTCCAGATATCCAAACATAGTGAAAGGAAAATGCATTGAAGTATTGTGGAGGTGGCTTGAGTGCGGCAGAGCTCAGCAGAGTGAGTGTTCAATACCATGTTGTAACCGTGCAAGCAAATCATCAATGAAGACTTTCTTTGTTCGTATCAGAGCTCATAACTTATGTCCACCTCACACTTTATTGTAGCATCTTCAGGGTATGCTCTTCAAGTTCTTATAACTCCGATTAACTGGTGGTGATTCACTGAGTCAGAGTGTAAAGCTGGGTTTACACTATTATATGGATATGGATTCCATATATATATATGGAAAAATCGTCGAGATGATAGGTTTTTCTGCGTTCTACCAACCTCTCTATCAGATGTTCAAAAGCTTTTACGTTATCGACTCGCGGTCGGCAAACCTTTCAACATTTGACCCACAGCGTGCACGTGGGGCGACGTGGATATGCATTTTTGCATGTACTAATTCCTGCCAGCGTGGAACCGATAGCAAAAACGTGCTCGCCTCCTGGGTGAAGGGACACACCTCCTGATTGCTGTTCTCTGAGTGGCCGCATGGCAAAAACATTTACAATTTGCAAATACCGAGCTGGGAAAATAGAACACGTTCTAATCTCTCAGCCAGTTGCTATTAACCAGTTGCGCGAGCAACTTTTACGTTTACACTGCCGATTGTCGGTTGTATAACTGCAAAATTGGTCCAATTCGCCAATTTGCTAGCATAAAGTCGGTAGTGTAAACCCAGCTTAATGTAAATAGGAATATTGATTGGAATAGTGTGATTCCATGTGTGATGTAAAATTTATTATTATGCCAGTAAGCATTTTGATAGATACGGGGTTCTGGATGCACATTCACTTGATTAATCTAGCTAACACGTTGATTGAAGTTAGCAATTACGTAAGTATTAATAGTAGCAAGAGCTAATAAATACCTCTTTTTTATTAGCTCTTGATAGTAGTAAATTATTAGTTGTAAACAAAGTTAGTCTAATTTATTCTATGGTGCTTATATACTAGCTTAATCAGATTTGATGATAAGCCAGGAACTAAATGCAAAATGCAGAGTGTCATTATTTATGCTTTGCATGTCATATTTGTGTTAGTATTTGTTAATTCTTTTTCATTTTCTTTTCATTACGTGAAGTTCTGATGTGGTCACAGTACAATATAGACAAAGACATCTGCAGTTCTATCATTTCGTCTGCCCAAGAGCACTCCACATCTTATCCAGTCGAACTCGGAGAGGAAATGGGCGAACACCAGCGAATTATACTTTCTCTTTACCTTGTAAGTATTTTAATAGCATCTATGCATCTAAGCTAGTCAGTCGGTGGTAGATTTCATATCTGCGGTTGGTATAGTAATCTGCAGATATGAGATAACTCTTCCCATTCACAGTTCCTGTTTGGAGGCGGCAGGGATCAGGATTTGTATGGGAGCTCTCTAAAGCATGTTTTTATTCCATCAATATATTCTCTTATTTTGGTTGTGAATTTCATCGTAGCACGCTTTATTGTCACAGCAGTGCACATGTGCCCACATGCATGATTTTTTTTTATCTATTATAGGCGGACAAGTACATGGCTCAATATGATTCAACACACTGCACTCCACTGCCAGCAAATTTCTTACAACTGCCATTAACAGACCAAGTTGAGACATCCTACGAAATCGTTGATAATATTGATTAAAGAAAGCTGACTTCACTTCAAATATAAAACTTGTCCTGTACAAGCATTCCAACAGGCATCGAGATCATGATCAGAGGAGAAGGTTATAGTTGGTATTGCAAAATTTCCTTGACATTTGAAGAGAACTATTGAGATATGATTGTCCATAACAATTTGCAGTTATAACATGCAGTTTAGTGAAAAAGCAAGCTATGAATAAGCTATAGCTTCAACAGATAACCACTAGAATGTCACATAGATACGCCTACAAAGTGTAGACCACACCATGTTAGATGATTTAATCAGAATACACATAGGTATTCGTTTTTACCTATGAAAACATATACCACCAATTAATGTTTGCATATCTAACTGTCTAAAGTAAGAAAAGATAAAAGTGTCATATTTGCTTTTATTATTAGGCGTTTACTTAGCTATGCAGTAATTATTATCTTAGGCTGTGTTATCTTAGATTGTTGAATTACACACATTTCTATACGTATTTGTGATAATATCAGTCTTCAAGAATATCTGTCAATTGCACACGTTTTTACATTTTGGTAATGTAAAGTGTAAAATGTAAAGCCAATGACGGCTATGTTGTTATCTTTGTATCAGCAGTTTCAAGAAAAAATTTACAAAATGTTCAATCGAGATATTTACACCTTGGTTACACCTAGGGATAAGACTTACGGGGTTTATTTCCCGCTATACATCATTATTATGTGCACCACGTGCATGAATGTGGACATTAGCGCAAGCCTGAACAACTTCTGATTTGTGATTATGGGAGGTAACTAGATGACTGGTAATGTCTTTGATCACTGATCCAAAGCCGATTTTGACTTCAGCGCATTGTAAATTTTTTTAATAAATGGTTTGTGAATTCGTCCTATAAGAAATAAATTATTTCTCAAAAAACATCTTTATCTCTTTGAAAAATTTCATTGAAGCGAATGTACGTTTTGCAACGTGATTTTAGTGTTCGTAATTTACAAATTTCATATAATGAATTTCTGTCATCCTAATGCGGATTATTAATGTGCCAAATGATAATACTTTTTTGCTACTCGAGATGCATAAAGAGTGCGTAGATATCTGTGAATAATAGAACGTGTGGGGGGTTACCATCTAGACAATAATTGGGTAAATTTTTCACGCCATGTTTTTATTGCAACCCAAACGAACTACGAACTAGATAATGGATTAGAAACGGACAATACGTGCAAATTGTGCATTCCTTCTGTCTGCTGCTGCTTTGTCAGGGACCGTAGAACGAATAGAAGCGACCGCCGTTTACTTTCATGCACACGACACTGGTTTACTCGGAGAAGGCTTCACACAGTACCTACGGCTGCTCCCCGGCAGCAGTGCCGGATTAACCATTAAGCAGACTAAGCACGTGCTTAGGGCACCAGGGCCAAAGGGGGCACCACAAAGTTGGGAAAAGGGTGAAAAGAAAAAAAAACAAATAAAGATTTGTACTTCCCAGGTGTACCAAAAGGGGCCCCCAACAATACAATACAATACAAGGGGCCCCTAATGCCACCCAACAAGGTGCTAATTCCCACTTATCAGAAAGTGAAAGGTACTCAAAGACTTGTCAGACACTCATTGATGCTTATCCAGATGACATGAACAACACTTTGTCTACAGAGCTTCAGCAGTTCCATTCATATGTTCTTCATAAGTTTAAAACAACCAAGAAAACATCTTTCACTCACATGGAACTTTACAACACAATTACAGAAGACAAACTAGAGAGTGCCTTTCCAAATGTTGAAATTGCCTTAAGAATATTTTTAACATTAATGGTCACCAACTGCACAACGTGTAAAAAAACTCAAATAGATTGACTCGTAGTCAGAATGAAGGTGTACATGCATGTACGCTCAAAATTACCTCAAATACCATCTCCTGCGATCTACATTTTAAAAAATTCTGGGGGAGGACCCCCATACCCCCCGCCTGTTTATCACCACCCTCCTTGAAATCCTACATGAATTTTTGTAAAATGCATACGGCCGAAAAAAATTCTCTTGGCAGTCAATGGTGACTGACGCACGAGCGTCACCTCCATGTACATTAATATCAGAATATAGCGGGATACCCAAGGCGTGATGCTGCGAGCAAAGTGAATGTTTTAGATCGAATTTTAACAAGCACACGTGCTGCATGTCAGCCTGCCCGGCTCCAGTTTGAAATTATAAGAACGGCCGAAGAAAATTATATTGGCGGTCAGCGGCGACCGACGTCGGAGAGTTTTTTCCCTGTACTTTATAGCATAGCTGGGAATCGTAGCGCGATGCTGCGAGCAAAGTGAAGCATGTAGATCAGATTTTACCATGCACACGTGCAGTCGGCCCGCCCCCGCCCGCTACTAGTTTGAACGTATAAGAACGGCCGAAGAAAATTATCTTGGCAGTCAACGGTGACCGACGCACGAACGCCTTCTTGTACATTAATATAATATCAGCATAGCGGGATACCCAGGGTGTGATGCTGCGAGCAAAGTGACTATTTTAGAACGGATTTTACCAAGCACACGTGCTGTCAGCCTGCCCGGCCCCAATTTGAACGTATAAGAACGGCTGAAGAAAATTATCTTGGCAGTCAGGCGACCCACGTCGGAGCGCATTTTCCCTGTACATTAGCATAGCTAGGAATCGTGGAGCGATGCTGCGAGCAAAGTGAAGCATGTAGATTAGATTTTACCATGCACACGTGCCGTCGGCCCGCCCGAAACTAGTTTGAACGCATGAGAACGGCCGAAGAAAATTTTCCTGGCAGTCAACGGTGACCGACGCACGATCACCACCTCCATGTACATGCATGCACACAGATGCAATGCTCTCCTATATCTACTATGTCCTCTATCTGTTAGTGTCAATCCCATGCGTCTCGGGCAAGCTCTCATCTTTCACCCTTCATGCTTGGATACAAAATTGTACCCACTAGCAGATACAGCTCTTTCGTTTTCGCATATCTGCTATCCCCTTCTTTGCCTGTTAGTGTTAGGACGCGACGTTTCATGGCGTTTAGAATTGTTAACTCTCGAAACACAATCTTTATATTTCGCAGATATGAAGCTTCGGTAATAGATTGCAGCAGTTTTTATTTATTCAATATACTGCTAAACGAGAATGATAAATCTAGATGAGACGGGATACTAGAGAAGCGTTGCCGAAAGGAGGTGTTTATCCGAAGTGCTGCGCGATCTTGCGCGCAGTTCCGCGGCAAGGCGCACGCGACCGCGGAAAATTCCAACGACAGTATGCGGCGCTGGCAGCAATGGATCCGTGGGCCGAATGAATAGGCCGCGCACGAATCCATAGCTGC